AATAGTCGCCAAAAGCAAAGGCAAAAATATGATTAATGAGGTGATTTATCACGTTTCCACCTTTAAACATTTATGAGATGTGTGGTAATTTCCAGACATTAACGATATTTTCATGTAATTGCATTTTATATGGGTGTGGTTGTTGCGCCTCATACTTCACGGCGTCGCATTTTGCATTGAAAGTTTTTGTAATAAAACGCCGCGTTCTTTCAAAATTTCATTTTAGTGTTCTCCTCACTGGATTCAATATACAGCACTGAATTGAAAGAATGTTTTACCATTAGAGCTGTTCTCAGAGATGGGAATGTCGTACTTATTTAATATTTCTTTTACACTTTGAAACACCGGTAGTACTTTAATTAGGAAAAATTGAGTATATTGTAAAATGTATCAGGTAAATGTACCACCAGAAGATATATAGAACGCAGTGTATATTTGACAAGTTTAAATTTGGGAATGCAGGGCGATCTGGATAATCAGTAATAAAGTATTCAGTTATATAAAGGAAGCGCTGTTTAAACATACTGGTAGATTTCAATAACTCAAAATGATGTAATGTCTTAAAATGGGAAATCTAAAATATTGAATGAGACTAATTTTTAATGTAATATTATATTCATTTTAGACTCATAATTTAGTATTCTTCTCTGCCATTTGTTTTGATTTTGAATAAATGAATGAATGGTACAGTAATCAGCAAAAACTATATTCGTGTGTGCCTGGCGTGTATAATGTTTTACATGTAAATTTTACAAGAAATTTTTAATAAATTATTTCAATTAAGATATATTTATATTGTGCCAGGATAAATGTAAATTATGTTTTGTCGTTCATTCTTAAGTGTGAGATAATAATCGCGACAATTAAATCTTTAAAGTCACTTCAAACTATTAAGTTCTATTTTAGACAAATCTTTCAATTTGAGCGTCAAGGTTGTTTGCGCAATTCTTGAAATTGATATAAATCCCGAGTGCCAGTCACAATTGTATTTACTTTATATTGTATACTTTGAGTCAGAGTCTATAGTTGTCTACATATATTTTATCGATGAGTCGATGTCGCAAAGATCTTTTCTTCTCCGTTGTGTGCCAAATTCAGTACATTGATGTAGTACTTTAGCGATGTGGTGACAGAGAGAGCCATCCGACGAAATGACAAAGCTGTGTTAACTCTTTTGTATTGTAAGGACATCGCATTTCTGGCATATTTATTTACCGAACCAGTCAGTAACGATATGAAATGATAGCCATAGCAAAAATGATAGTTGAGGTTTTCAGGTGATATTCACCAATTCACACAACTCCAATAAGAATTAGGGACTTGTCAGAATCAGGACTAAAACATCTTATTATTAAATAAACTGTAGTAAAAATGGAAATATCCGATTTTACTGCGAATATACGACTAAATCGTAGTGAAGAGTAGATTTGCCCGTAGGGAGTGAATTGAGTAACAGATTCGCAATTATTTTTAGTCCGCAATCATGCTTTTTATATGAGTCACATTAATAATGCGAAACATTGATATATGTCGCGACAATATTATAATCGATGTCAAACTGAATGAGGTAATGACGTTTTAATCGGTGGTACTTAATTTCATTCGTGAAATTACCAAAGATAATTATCATATCCTCGAGTGATATTGCCAGAATTAATATTACTTGAAAGGAGCATTTATTGTTTTATGTAGTAATAGTTTAATCAGTAAACTTAATTGTAAACTAATAAATTTTATTTTCGAGTCTGTAAATAACAGTTATATAAGATCAGGGACAACCTTAGGTCACTGCAACCTATGAGGCTTCAGCGGACCCTACGGCCTACACTTCCGTAGTCCCGCGCTGTTTCTAGGTGTAAAATAATAAATTAATTATTAAACCAATATACATAATAATCATACAGAATTTCGATAATGTACTTCATGGCTTCGCTACTCTCAGCGCTCGCAAAGTAAATATACTTTAATTGTGATTTGGTACGCCCGAAGTATGCGCACCCAGATGTCGCACAACCTGAACCCTAACCTTGTACAAAACCTGAGTTCAGGTTGTGCGCCATCTTGGTGCGCATACTTCAGGAGGTCCTGTGATTTTGTATTAGAAGGTAATAAAATCTGCGCAATTTGTTTTGCAATATTTAAGGCCGGTCCTGGGATCTTTTGTACAAAGCTCCCGCAAAAAACACCCTCGCCAACGCTCAAAATTATTAATTATCCAGTTGGGTTAGTACTGCAGATTGTGTCGAATTTTCAAATCATTCCTAACCCAGTAACCCCAACTGGATAATTACTAAATTTCTTATTTTGAATATTGACGGGGGTGTTTTTCTCAAATCTTACACTTTTGCATTAGTAGCGTGGGCTTCGTACAAAAGATACTGGTTCTGTATAATAAGAAATGATTGTTATTATCGAACTTGTATAAGAGGATCTATAATTGGTACTCAAAATATAATTAGTCACATTTGTTGCTACATTATTATTGGTTAACTGAGATTACTTTGAGGGGCGTTGTTACATTATATGAATGTCAAAAACAACGGCTAATCGGAGTATTGCCGTTACAAACGAGGATAGTTTAAGGATCGATATCTTTTCGCTTCAACTTTTCCTTCGTAATTTTCCACATTTAATTTATAGGTGAGTTGGTGGGCATAGGACTTAGACTCAAGATTTTAACTGGCAATCCAATCGTAGTTGAGTCCAACTATTAACCATGTGTCTATCAAACACATGCACGAACACAACGTCTAAGTTGACATGGCCTTTTCTACATAAAATTTGGTAACATTAATTCAAATCTCCTCTTGTCCATGTCTTCGCTGGGTCGAATTGGGAAACAATACCATTTCAATATACTCCGTGGCCCATTGGAAGTGCTTTTCGATCCCCAGTTTGGTAGCTTATATGAGAATAAAATTAAAAGATACTGTAGTTCAGATTCGAAAGATCAACAGTTTATTCTGTCGGAGAGCCTTAGCGGCCGCACCAAGATTGATTACCCTTGACCAAAGAATTCTATGAATATGAATGGTAATTAGGGTTCCATTACATTTGAACCCACGACAATTGCACCTGCATACTATTGCACCTACGGATATTTAAACTCATACTAGCCCTAACCCATGGGTTTTAGCACCCGCATATAGATTGAACCCGCGGATATACGGGTGCAAATGAATGGGTTCAAATGTACAGTCACCGTAATTAGCGATAAATGTACCTCAGGGCATCAAGCTGAAATAGCAAAATTACAGTTTGTTTCTATTATTACGTTAATTGACAAGTAAAGCCCGACGTTCAGTGGCTAAAGTACCCTTAACAGGTTATTTATTATGGCTTAGTAAAATATCGTTAAAACAAAATATATATCTTGTGTTCGAGTGTTTTGTGGACTCGTCATTTTTGACGATGCATTTTCGAAGGCGGTACGTGGGCGAGGGTGGTTCGATTTTCTGGCATTCGATGATAAATGGTGATCGGACGAGGAGCCGTTTGGTCGTCTTTTGTTCGCCCCATGTTATTACATTCATTTTCAGGAATATGAATATATACAAATTTGCATCATAAATTATTGCGCGAGAACTTTTCACTTTTCAAAGTGGTTGCCACACGCAAAAACAAGCATTCGTATTTTTGGGCCTTTCAGCCCTTGTCATCGAGGTTAGCAATTTCTATCGTGAGCTATTATGAAAACCTTACATGGATCAAGGTTGGAGAGGGCTTGAGACTGTCTTTGCCTTGTTACAATCTTCATGACGCACTTCCAATATGAGTCGCCCAATATTGGCCCGGAAACAAGATCGCAAAAGCATTGTTCACTAGAATATTCTGTCGCCATCGACAGAAACAGCCTACCTTTGCATTATCTGTTAAGAATAGACTTGCATTACTCGTGGTTGACAATTTTGTGCAGCTTAATAATGAATAATTCTTTAAGATGGAGAGCTAAATCTGTCAGGACAGCAAATTTTAGACACAAGTTCACCTGTTAGAATTTGTTCCGCGTATTTAGCAAGGCTTCGTTGTAAGTGGAATTACGCATAGTGTTAAAAAAAACTATCGTTGCCTTTACAGTCGTTTGCTGCTTTGCATGTAGATTTATCGCCGCCTCACTTCCCTAGCAGCCTTTGAATCGGGGGGGGGGGGGCAAGGTTTTGGAACCAGGGGCTAAACATTTTGCCCCCTCAGTCTGGCGGGACATGTGAGTGTGACGTAAAAGTTACATTTTAGGAACAATGTTTACAGTGTTACAAAGCAAAGGTGGGAAACAATAAGCCCCGTGCGCCAAAACGAAATTTAACCGCAATCTCAACGAATTCCTTGAGCTATTTTAGCTGAAACATCAAAATTAGATTTCAGTTTGGTTGTGGCAGCATCAGGCGGGCCAGATTGAATTACCCAACGGGCCGAATTTGGCCCGCGGGTCGTAGTTTGCTCATGTCTGCTTAGAATTATCTAATAAAGTTCAATTATTCTGAATTGCAATGGCACAATATTAAATAATAGGCATAAATACTGAATTTAATTTTTTCATTCCGATAATTTACTCCTTTCTAAAGCAGAAAGCCTATTCCATGAACCCGATTCGTGATTTTAATCCGTGAGCTGCCCTGAAATAAATTCAAATTTTATTTTCAATTATTTTGGTCACATCGGCGACTCGCAGCTGTTAGATGAATTTATGCTACGTGCAGGCCCGGATCATTGATTTTAGAGGCCCTAAGGATTTAAAGACTTTAGTGCCTTTAGTTTCAATGACGCCACAAGATAATATTCATCAAAACTAACAATAAGAAGGGGAACAGCTTAATAATTAATTCGGCTATAAAATTTCTGTGTTTTCCCCTCCCATTATGCCTTAAGCGCGTGCTTATTTTCCTAATTATTAACCCCGTCCTGGCTATTTTTGACTTACCGGTAACCTAAACAAGCCCGTAATGACAACTGATTTAGCTTTACAAAATGAATAAATTTTTCTAATTTTATACAGTTAAACGGAAAGTAACGTATATCCTTGCAGATATTAATATTTATTTGCAAGAAATGCATTTGATATGTGTTCAAATAGGACAAACTCAGAGAATCGGATACATATGTGTGACGTAATAAATAGTATCAAGGGACTTTATCGCATCATAATTGGATTTAATATCGAAGATGAACGTGTCTTCTGCCGCGATTGATGACGTCATAAACGTCACTCAAGAATTCGTCGTCAACATCTCTCATAAGGTAAGTTGGTTAAACAAAGTCGCTTATGTATGAGATAACTGATAACCTCGGCCGAGAGATTAATATAATGACCTATTGGGCAGAAGTTGCGCCCTTCATCCGTTTAATGAATATGAATCGCACTCTTGCATGTCTTAATCCATCGTTGATTATTATCGCCAGTAATATATAACCCCACATTGACCCCTACCATTTTAGTTGCGAGCAGTTGCTTCTGGAAATAGCTTGATATTCTTGACATCTGCTCAGTAATTATTTTAAATTCAAATATTCAAACTGGCATATTTTGAAGAGCAAATCATAGGTCAGTGCAAATTCTCGAAAAACAAGAAAGAATCAATAATTTTAAACATTTGAACTCTCGAATAACAGCTATTAAATTCGTTTGAACTCGATTACACTTATTCGTTTTTACACGGTTGAGGCCTGTGGACTAGACTTTTGCGGAAAAGTTGAAACGTTTTTTGGTTGAAAACAATATTTCATTGACTGTTATCAAGTAACGTTATTACCGAAAACGTCAGCAGATCGTAGTCATTTCGTAATAAACGGATCAAATTTCTTATATTATGTTGAAATGCCGAGTGCATTTTTGCGTTAATTGCGTCTGCAATTGCCACAGATTTGCTTTTTCAATTCCTGATAGTCATCTCAAAAACGTCCAAAGACTGTGGTTTTTGCTTGATAATTGAATCAAATGTCTCATATTATGTTAAAATGATTGAAGTGCTCTTTGCTAAAAGCATCATTATCACAACAAAATTGCCCTTTTTTTATTCTCAGTAATGATGTTACCAATTCAAGGAAAATCGCAAAACGTCTTAATTTGGTAGTTTTTGCCTAATAAATTGATCAATTTTTTACAGTATGTTAAATTGATGAGGGCATTTTAAGTTGATTGATTCCGCAGCACTTTTATAACAACAGAGTTGCTTTTTATCAATAATTATTAATGCTTTTACGTTTTTCTTTCGAGTGTGACCGTAAAACCGCCGATGATTAGTCCTCAGATTTTCTTTTTTTCTGATCAATCAATCCATCTAAATAATTCTTCCTTTCTCATTCGAGAGGGATCGTAGGATACTGTTATTTCCGATTCGTTGCACAAAAATCATTAGACTTCATTATATTGTCATAATGTGAGTTATTTTTACACTTCAAGTCAATGATTTGTTCAAATTACGGAACAAGGAAATACGTTGTATGCCTGGGTCAGTTTCATATTCAGATATTGTATGCGCTCGATAGCGAAAAATCAGCCCCAGCTACTTTCCTATTATTGCCCCAATTTCTTTATTATGGTTAGGCCATGGGCGGAGGCGCTTGCTTGGTACCGCTTTACTACACTGATTTAAAGTAAATTATGTGTAATTAGTTAAATTCTTAATTAACCTTGATGCGTTGTTGTTACTTTCACTTGTTGCCTTTTATTATTAAATGTGGCGCATAAAATAAGTGATGGAATCCCGTTCAAAACAAAAAAAAAATTGGAAATAGAACTGATAGACATGAAGTACCATGAAACCGTTCACACGTTAAGAACTGTATTAAGCTTTTGTACAATTTTAAAATAAACAAGAATCAGAAAACAAAAAATAAATTTAGTGGTGAAGCAAATACCAAGTAGGCCATTAACCAACCTTGAAAGATTATTACAACAGTAACATACATGCTCCATCATTTTTTTTTACTCGCCGTTTTTTTTTCGCCAAATTGAATTTCAGTGCCAATAAGGAATTTATTATTTTGTTCAGATAAAAGTTAATTCGAATTATTTTTACGTCAATTCCGTTTTCGGTTAAAATAATTGATAACGGATATTCAGAATACAATTGAATGGTTTGAATTACGAATAAGTGAGGAAAAATAAATATACATTATATTGTATTTTACATTTTCAATATTCAATTCATTGTATTTCCATTCATTGTAGTTGAAATATATTTTATTATAACTTAGACAGAAAATCTGAACACCTCGTCATACAAACTGAATATGAATTTTTCCACTCTGTTGAAACCAAATTTCAGTCAAAAATTTATACGCGACAGTTCCCGGTCGATAATATCTCAATCATAATTCGGTTAAATGTTTAACTATTTTCAACCACGCTCTTGACCGATAAATGGTCACTAGCGATCGAACGTTACATTATTAGTGGTGAATTTAAGGTTGAGTGTGATTTTTGAGTCATTCTTCGTAGCATATTGAATTAAAATACATCCGCAGTGTGTTACTGAAGCATTATGACTCGGTTTTCGAGTTACATAAAACATAAATGATCTATCGATACACGAAAAGGACCGGTATAATCAAATGTATCACTATATGCAAAAGCCTATCAAAGCTTTCGTTAATCGTGCCCAAACCGCATAAAACATATCAAAAGCTCACTGAAGCATTTAAAAGTCTTCATAGTATATTCAATTAAAATATGTTGACAGTGTTTTCTGCGCGAAGCATAGTGGCTCAGTTTACAAGTTATCACAATGCAAAAACCTATTTAAAGCCTACGTGAATAACCTACTAAACACCACATAAAACATACCAAAAATTCAATAAAACACGCAAAAGTTTTCTGAGTATATTTAAATAAAATATATTGGCAGTGTTTAATTAAGCTTAGTGGCTCGGGTTTCGAGTTACTTGAAAATATCCGTAAAGGATCTATCGATACACGAGAAGGACTGGTATATAGTTATATACAAATGTATCACTATGCAAAAGCCTAGGTGAACCGCACAAAACATACCAAAACTCATGGAAACATGCAAAAACCTACTAGAACGCGTTGAGGGAGAAAACTAGGCAGAAGAGTAGGGGTCGCAAATGTTGAGAGTCTTTGGGAGAAGTCACTTCAGCTATTTAGGTATCCCAATGACTGGAACGGGCAAAGGGTCGTATTGGTCTCCATATGATTAAACTAAGATGTCAGCCTTCTATTCCTCAGGGATAAATATCAAATTTCTTTTGTATTTTCAATCTGAAACCGAGTTCACACTTCAAATGTGTTAAATTTGCATTTTAATCGGCCCTGATTTGACAGGAAATCCCAAAGGTATACTCGGTTGAATTAGAGCCAAAGCGACACCAGAATTTTTTGAGAAATGCCTGTACTATTGATTTACGTTCCTTTTTTTCCAGTAGGTCTTGATAGGCTTGAGTTTGATTTTTCTGTGGCTTCTATCTTTGTTTTTACAATGTGGGCGCAATGGCTTTGAATATAACATTGCTCTGAGCTATTTTGGTATCGCATGCATGTAAAATCTCGGGTACAAACATGTACAGGTCGTCTTCTTGTGCATAATAGTTTGCGTGAAACGCTGAACAAGGTTTTCCGAGATTTTCGGGCTCAGAATGTTATTTCGTGGTTGAATATAAAAATAATATATCAGCAATATTGATTTTTCAATATTGCCTCATTGTTTAATGAAACAATTCGAATTGGTCAGTCAACACAGACCTCCATATTGGCCCAGTTTAAAAAAGTTCTCAAGTATCATCTTAAACCTCGCTATAAATGCTCCATAAAGTATGACGACTGTTTTCAACAAAATGATGCAAATTTATGATGCTTAATGCCTTTAAAAGGCATGATCCGGCATTGGGTTTGTCCCATTCAAACTTTCGCACGTTCGGATGCAAAAAAATTGGATATAAATCCATTAATTTAAAATCGGCAGACACAAGTTTAGTTCAATTATGTTACGTTTGCATAATGATGTCTGATTCTGTTTAGACGAAACGTTACAGAAATACACTTGTAGTATTATGCAGCCCGAATAGTAATAACTCAGAATAGCTATTTGCACTCTTTCTGCAAAATACTTGCTTTATATGCATCAATAATCCGAAAAGAAAGATAAGTAGTTAGACCATTAAATACCCAATCGAGATTACCGCACACCGCGAACTTGCAATGAATTTTCGATTTGCAAGCCCAACCGCAGGAACTGATAAAGGGTTGCAATTCAAAGACCTTAATTAAAATATATTGCACAGATGCCAAGATATCTTTCACGATCTTTAACCCGGAACACGGAAACGGCAATCCTCTCCACAATCGATTCTAATTATAGTATTACCTCGTTCTTACTTTCCCTACACGTTATCAATTCTGAACGGGGTTTATCTCGGTAATCATTCAACAAAATGAAAGCAGACGATATGGTGCGATTTATGGGCGCGAGGCCCAAGTGGTTGAAGCGTTGGACTTTATGTTATGAGTCTATGACACCCAGGGGAAGTTGAGGTTCGAACACGCCCTTTGAAATGTAGTAAAATAAAAAGCGTTTTTTCTGTATTGTACAAAGCGATTTGTCGTAGCTTGACACGATTTCTTGACCCTCAAGACTTCGAAATTCATGTTTTCTGGCCGGACCGGCTTGTTAGGGTCTAGTCCAGGGGTTCCCAAACCAGGGGTCGCGACCCCAAATTGGGTCGGAGTGATAAGTAGGTAGGGTCGCAAACAGGTCATGGGGTCGGTAGGGTCGCTGATTTATGGTGGCGGATGAATGTACAAATCATCTAAGATTTGATAAATCATGTTAAATTTAACAGCTTGTACCATGGCTTACTGTAAAACAGGCCCATAGGCATCGCTCTATACGTATGCTATAGAAAATGTAGGTGCTTATTGCGACATCACTGTTTGGTTTTAGCTTATTTTACTTAATATCACCACATGACCAAACTCAAAATTCCAGTGAAAGAAGCTCCAAAGTTTCATGAAAAATATATATATTGACCTGGGGTCGCATTCGACACTTGAAAGTTGTCTTTGGGGTCGTTCTAAAAAAAGCTTGGGAACCCCTGGCTAGTCTATCTTGGCAATTAGAGATTATATTTCAGATTCCCTCCCTTTTGAAAATTCTCGGCTAAGCTCCTAGCCCTGATGACATCTCAGATTATAATCCCGCCTTCAATTTCTAAATAATTAATTTGAAGCACTGGGTTCCACAAGTATTTAGATATCATTTTTCGTTCGGAACTCGAGTTACGTTACATCAATTTAATACTGAGACAGAAAAAGCAATATAAATATTGACTTGTTTCATTACTCCTAATGTCGCCACGCCCATCATATTACCCGAATTTTCTTTTTAATCTGATATATTACATCGTAATAGGTTCGGGCAAAGGCCAGGATCTTTAAAACCGGAATTTCAGTCTCACTTAACGCGGTTGCCGGTAGCAAATGAATAATATATATGTGAAGATAAACAATCGAAAACATTTATTCTAAAAATAGCAGCTCCCGATTTATCAGTGACTACTTCTCATTTGGATTGACGGCGTAAAAACAAATATAAAACTGTATAAATAGGCCATACGTCACGGTTTAGGCCGGATAGTCCCGCCCGGTAGACTCAAATGTCCCGTTCATGCAGTATGGTTAGGCTTACCATACGTCCCTATAAGTCAGCCAAAAGTCCCGCTTTTCCAGCATAATACACAAACATGTTCTTGTTACTGTTGTTTCTGTGTAGCGCAACGCTGGCCTTCTTACTGAAGGTGAATGCGTTCTTTTCCCGCTGATTCCCATTGATGGCAGACGTATCGCATGTAAAACCAATACTAATTAGTCTAAACTCGAATTATTTGTACCGGTATCGTTAACGTCAATTACAATCGTCAACGTCAGTTACAAAATCACAGCTAATGGGTCGTTGTCTTTCGAGGCGTCCCGATTTGAAGTCACAAAAATATGGTAACCCTAAGTATGGTATTTATAAATAATTTTTTATCAAATTTCAATATCAACTTTTTCGTTAATGGAGGCAGTCCCTTTATCACTGATTCGCGACTCAATCCACTTGTTCGGTGAGAGTTATTCTAGTTCGGTTATACTGAACCGTTAATAATTGGGTTAGACATTGACTACTTTGTTTCCCAGAATGTTTTTCAATGTGGCTTTGGACGAAAGTTCACAAATATACTTGCTATTTCGTGGAAGGGGATTATATTATTTTTATATATCCAAGTATATTGACCATAGCTAACATTTAATCATTCTTCTTTATTGTTATTTTGATTCTTTAATACCTATCCATTATTCTTGAATATTTCAGCAAAATCAGACAGAGCTAGTGATCTACATCGCCTTTGAAGTTTGTATCGCGTTGTTCGCTTTCGTCAACAATGTTCTTGTCATCATAGCTTTATGGAAATTTCAAACTCTCAGGACGCCCACTAATTGGTTCGTTGCCAGTCTCGCTGTAGCGGATATCGCTGTAGCGATTTTTGCAATTCCGAGTGCAATATTACTCAGATTGGGTGAGTAAAGTTTATTTTGTTTTGATTATAGTTGAGGTCGGATTAGGGTTATGCGTGATGGGGAAAAACAGAGCGTTGACAAGGACCACACTAAAAGTCTTGTCGGGCTGGGTTGTGGCCCGCGGGTCGCCTATTGTACACACAGTGGAACTGTAAAAATCAGTTGCATGGTGGGAACTAATTCCGTATTTCAAGACAATATAAACCATAAAACGGCTATTTTGATATTTGGCAAACGAATATGACCTGAAATAACTACATAGCATATGGTTGGTGATATACAAAAATACAATTTTAACGATATTCAAAACAAGAGAGCGAAACTTAAATATATGGTCACAAAGTGGTACGGGTATGGAATCTGTAGCTGCCACAGAAAACGCACTTTTTGGTTTTGATGACGTCATCGCTCACAAAATAAAACGAATCCCACAGATAGAACCCATAAAAAATTTCGAAATAAAAAATGTGATTCCAAGGCATCTAGCGAAAAATTCAACCACGAAAAATTAATCATTGGAAATTTCAAAGCAATTTATGTAGTAGTTAAAAAGAAAAGCGATTTTTTTTTTCACAAGAACGTGAAGAAAAGAAATACTAACGTGATGATCAGCAACATCAAAATAACAAAACGAGCCATAGGTCCACTTTGTGTTCCAGATATTTGTACATTGCTCATGTTATATTTTAGTGACGACGTATGTTAGTTTTCTCCGAGCCTTCCACTTTTAAATGGCCAACGACATACTCTGATAAGACAGTCCATTTCTTCTATTTTCATTCTGATTTATTCTGCTGACAAACTGTGACAATGCAACAATTTATTTACTACTTTCAAGCGTTTTTATCGCGAATCCTATTTGTTGTGACGGCGTGTAAATATAAATCTATAATTATCGCTACTAAAATGACATATCCCTAGCATATTCATTGACCGACATATTGTGGTAAGGTAGTTATTAATTTGCTGTTTACTAGTGTTGTATCGCGATATCTATTTATAGTGCCGGCCTGTAAATAAAATTGTATAATTACATGACATATGGAGCAAACAAAACCAGGTTGGACAATAATAAAGCTTCAAATGTTTATGAGCCTATGATATAACAATAAAACAGTGAGTAAATAAATAACACCGGTATTTCCGGTGCTTTTAAAATTATTAAAAAGCATAAAGGATTGCATTTTACACGATGTTATTTTGTAACGAGGTTATTACGTGCGTGCAACAGTGCGCCAAAATTGCAATTCAAGACAACGTAAGTTATTTGAAGAACTAAAAATTGTGAGTCGTTCATGCCAAAACAGGGAGTAAATAAGTACTGTATAACACCGCCATTTCCGGGTCTTGAAAATTTATCAAAAAGCGGCAAAATTACAATACACGACATCGTAAGCCGTTTTAATTGAAGAACTAAAAATTGTGAGTCGTTCTTAGACGCAAAACGCTGTTGAATGACCGTATGACAAAACAGTTAAACGAGAATATCGGTCAGGGACCGAAGACTTATCGATCGAAAGTTAGGGGATCTCCCAAAACAGCGCTCTCACTCCATAGTGACACCTTGTGTCCCATCACTAATTAATTAATAACTCGCTAATTATACTACATAATTCATCCAAAATCAATAGGCTTCTGGTACGACATATGATGAATGCACATGCGAAATCTGGAGCAGATTCAATCTCGCTTTCGTGAGATATCGCGTGCATCTAACAGACAAACAAACAGACAGACAGACAAATACCTATTAACATACTTACTGATTAAAATCGATAAGTAATCACTAAGTAAATAAATACAACACCGCCACTTCCTGGCCTTTAAAAATTATCGAAAAGCATAAAAGATGGTATTTTGACGACGTTTATACATTTCTCTCAAAAAACAAGACTACGTTCAAACAGTCACGGATACAAGCGAGTAAAGGAAGTGCTTGTATATGTTGCGTTGTTTTACGTTTTTCCTAAATAGGAATCTGACAAGCCTGTTGGGTGATCCAAACCCATGAATTCGAACCGAAAAAGAACAGTATCGCCTATACTGCTTTCATTTGCTCCATGTTTGTTCTCAACTAGGCACCGGGAAAGCAACAAACAGACTTCACGAAAAAACATCATATACAGCCACAGGTCTTATCTTCGTGGCGTTTCTATTGACCCGTATCTTAAATTGACAACATGTTCCCAATGTTACCCTCAAACGGTTCTGCTAAAAGGTGAAACTTCAAAGACATCTTGGTTTGGGCCTTCATAAATGGTCACTCACTGCTGACGACGACCCCCGGGGCCGTAAGCAACAACCAGACTGCGCAATAAAACACCACAGGCGTATACATGTTTTATACGTTTAGTGGCGTTCCTATTGAGCCGTATCTTAAATTAACAGCATGCTCAACATGTTACTTGGTTTGGGCCTTACTTCATAAATGAATACTGCTGATGACGAGCCCATATAATCACAACAGCCCATATAATGGCTTTGATGACCGGTCATCCACACCCAAACAATTTTCTTGCTATTGCTTTTACACGGCATTGGTTAATGTAGTTTTTGGTTGATGAAATGATAAATGTCTCTCTCTAGATTGAGCCTTCTATCTTACTTATTAGTGTTGGTTATAACTAAGCTATTCTTTAGGGGAGGGGTCGGTCGAAATTGTTAACCTTGAAGTTTTCCCCGTCCCTTCCGATTATGTTTCATGATTATTGTTCGTTTATTCTTACTGCAATATGTACTTATTTGTAATGAAATATCCCGAAATAAATCAATATCTCTCTTATCAATAAGGGAAACCCAATAGGTAACATTATGTGGAACACGAAATGGCATTACTGGTAATTTTTCGCTTATTTCTCAGGTTTATCTCTCAAGAATGATTGCGGAGCCGTTACTCAACCATCAGTTAGTGAAGGAACGTGTTTATTTATTGTTTCATCCGTTATATTTCTCACACAAGTCTCAGTGTTCAGTCTCCTCATTATCGCCATTGATAGATTTATTGCCATCAGTTACCCACTCAGGTAAGTTGTTCAAGCCGGAATGTCTTGAATTGTTGTAGAAGTGTTTCTTAGCCAGGGGTTCACGTCCTCCCCGAAGTCGCGCGAAAATTAATGTCCCAATTTCGTTTCCCACTTGTTGTAACGCATTTCGACTCCTGCTCCATAACAAAACTTTGTCGTACGAGAGCCTCCTTTGAATGACTGTTGGGAACTCTCTGTAAAATTAATGCTTTTGGGGTTTAGTAGGAATGCAGTTTTGACTTATTGGACACGAAATGGACATACACATCGTTTTTTATGTTGTTGGTGATCTTGTCATTCTTTTTTTCTTCTTGTTGTTGTGATAAAAAAAATCGCTTTTCTTTTGAATTACTGGGCCAATTGCTTTGATATTTTCCGTAGTTTTTCGCTAGAAGGATATTACTTTTATTTATTTTCAATATTTCTCTGTGCTCTATAGGATTTGTTTTTTTTTGTGTGTGCGATGACGTAATAAAAATTGCTCACCGTGTGGCGGTTCCACGTTCGCAAATCGTTGTGTTCTGGTGGTCAGGCGAAGACCGCGTGCCGGTGGTGCCGCGATGAATTCATCAAAATTAAAATTTGCTACCCTTGTGGCAGTTGATATCTGGAACGGATAGTAGTACCCGTACTACTTCGTCTTGGCATTCGTGTCCATATATTTGAGCATCGCTTTCTTGTTTTATTACTGTAATTTCAACTCTATTTGTAATTCAGATTCCGGAAAATTCGCAGTTTTAGAGTCCGACTCGGGGCCGGGGTTATTTCCTTATTAGTATTTCCCCTTCTGAAAAATTCGGAATTTTTTTCTACGTATTTACTCGCACCCGGCGATGCCTTTTTGTCGTGAAATTTCATTCTCAATTTAAATCTATCATTTGTGGTAACATCGGTTTCAAATTGAAATCGCATCGATTTTTGGCGCGAGAATTTCAATCATCACTATTGTCAGTTTTCTTAGATTTAACTCCGATTTATGCTCTGCCAGGATTAATCCGAGTTAAATTGCATAATGAAAATTTGACGGTGTTCAACGCCATTTTCAAGCAAGAATTTTATCATTCGTGAAAATGCAGAGCTTAAAAGATTAAAACACTAGATGCGTATCAGTGGCGCTTGTAAAAAGACTTGTTCGCGAAAAGACGAAGACGCGAACGCGCTTCGCAGTATCTCAGCGCAGTATTGCAAACTCTTATCGGAGGAAGTTTGAAAATCGTCCATATACGATCAAGTTTTCCGTGGTTTAAAATACCAGCAAAATATGCGGGATATTAGCCTCTTACATATCAGTGCTGAAACTCGTATAGTCGCTTCCGTAATGTATAACCTATACGGTATCCATAAAGTTTACATTTTTTCAAATTTAAAAGGGAATTCATCAATACCGTACGATATTGTATATCGTATATTGTTTGGCCCTCACAGATGTATTGAATGACGTAAAAATATTGAACAATTACTTTTTGAAAGACAACAAACCTGGTTAGGATATATTGGGAACTGACTTCATGACAAAATTGAAATTGTAAGGGGACTTTATGGACACCCTGTATATTTAATACTTCTGTCGTAAATGTTCATACGTCATAAGCCAACCAGATGGCATCCGCTGACGATTTTGTCTGAAAATCAACGATGGTGTCCATTCCGGTCCATGTTGACCAAACAGCTAATTTCAACATTTCGTAATCAAACTAATATTTTATGAAAATATTTACTTTCTGTGGTCGTGAAGTCATTCCGATAAAAACAACCGTGACAACAAGCACGTAGTGTAGCCGTTATTGTTGTTGATTATAAATGTAATATTGCTTACATATGATATTTTATGGAGTGTCCCAGACACTCACTCGAAAAAGTCTCAAGACAAACTAGAGGCAACTTTCATACCGGTTTCATACCTTCACTTCAAGCTAGACTATAGACCCAAATCCGGCGTGCTGGTTGATTCAATCTGGCCCACCTGATGCTGACATAAATTTCTGTTTTCAACCAATTCTGCATTTTTGTTGTTTCTGGAATTTTGTTTTCTAATTTTGCTTTTGTACCACCGTAAATATTGTAATGTCACTTCTTTACGTCACACTTACATGACCCGCCACTTCCGACACCTAGCTGGGCCACGAAAATAAAAATTTATGTACACAACAAATCAATAAATTCTCACAATGTAATGGCTATCGCTTAGCCTTACAGTAATAATGGTACCGGGCGAAACGGCAAGAGCTTTAAAGCAACGACAAGAGCAAAATAAAATTTATAGATTTTTACCCACGTATGCGTTTTTTTGAACATCAACTTTTGAATTAGGATTTAATGCTTGATAGGAAAAATCTGAGTGTCGACAAGGGCCACACTGAATGACTTGGCGGGTTGTGGCCCGACATAAGCTATAGTCTAGGACTGGACCAATTGCATTGACATTTTATTGGTTATAGATTGTATTTGTCGCTAGAAGGTTGTTACTATGTGGGGACTGTAGGATTAGTTTTTGTGTGCAATGACGTCATCGAAATTGCGCACCATGTGGCGGTTGCGCGTCCACTACCTGACTGAGGGGCAATAAACCGGGGTACTCTTTGTAATGATGAATGAAGGATCCCGGTACCGATTACGACCCAGTGCCCTATTCGAAATTAAAACGATGAACGCGCAACCAAAAACAAATAACGTGTCCAAAATGCATTTGCTGCGGATACGCCCGTTGTGTATGTAAATGAAATTCAATACGCTAATACAATAAATAACCGCAAAATGACCACACCTTAGCTTTTAAATGATATTATTTCCACGCGGTAAAATTAATTTCAATTTCAGTGGTTATTAATGTTGAAATGCGCGTGTGCAATATATCACGTACATTGTTCGGCCGTCAATAATATTTTCGCTTTCAGATTTGAACTGTCACGTCAAAGTGGCATTTCACTACCACTTTGTCATGAAATAATAACATGTCGCCCGCCGATAATATCTTCTGAATATTCTGATTGTGACGTTTGAATTGAGGTTGTTTGTATCAGAATTGTTTATTCGCCATACGCTGCGGCATATATAATAGTCGAACTTACTGAGGGAATCGCCTCTCTCTCTCTCTCGTCTAAAAACATATTTAAAACTGTATTTATGGGGTCTATTTTTATTTTTAAAATAATTATACACGCTTTGATCAGTTTTTTCAAAGACAATTTTTTCCTCATGAAATACGTCTCCGAAAACCACCTAATTTGCATATTACTCCCTCTTTTAATTTTCGGGTATACATAATGAAGAACTCCTGGTTAGGTGAAAATGTTGACAAACTTTGATGTGTACCAGCCTACTTAAATGAACTGTTGAGTCGGCTAATTTTTTAGTTGCTTTGGAAATGTTGACTCAGATTATTTTACCATGAAAAAAAAATAGGAAATTCCAACCCCAACCATAATTTAGACGCCGACAACAGACCGAACTCGGATTTCACAGACATGGTTATGGTTTCCACTACCACCCAAATGTGTGTTATTAACCCATCTTTCGGCTTTCATCTTACAAGGAATATTATATAAAAAAAATCCCATCCTGTACCATTTGAACCCATTAACCGTTTAGAAAAGTCGATTAACCGCAACTTGCTCTTAGTGATAACTGATAGCCGTTATCTTCTATTTCCAGGTACGGAGTTTTTATGACGTCATTCAAGACTCGTGTGGGCATCATTGCAGCCTGGGCGTTTGGAGCTTTGATAGGTGTCGCCCCGGAGCTGGGTTGGAACAAATGGGCGGGAACAGAAGATTCAAATTGGTGAGATAGACTTTCAGTGAATTCTTGATTGTGTGCTTTAGGTTTGTCTATTACAAACAAGAACACCACTGAGCTGTAGTGTTCGGGAGGTGGGGAAGGCATCGTACTTATCGTTAGGAATAGGCTCGCTACCGCACCTCAGATTATCCTGCGGAGGTTCGCACCCCATGCGGGAATAGTTTTGTGCGAAAAGATTGCTGGATTTCTCGTCGACGTAGGTTGGTTACGACTTCCTCCACCATCAAGTTCATGCTTCCGAAAAAAAATAACTAACTAATCCTATACCCGACATGGAATGGAAACCGAACGAGAGGCCGTGGTTCTTACCTAATAACCTTTTTATATTGTTAAACTCATTGTGTAACAAGTGAGCTGTATATTTAATTGTGGATAATACATAAATATTTGAATCCTTATTCAAGTATGTATAAATACTTATGAATGCTGGTAGCAATTAAACAATATTCATCGATTGTTATTATTTTTCCCCTGCTTCTTCATGTGAACTAATTAAGGTGCCAAAAGGAGTCAAATGATACTTTTACGTCATGCACTCCATTACTGAATCTGTGATGATATTATTATTTTCTTGTCCCTATCTTTCAATTTTTGATCTCGGTCTGTGTCCAATAAAAAAAAAAAGCTTTTTTTAAATCTTTGACTGTTTTAATTCTTTCATTGGACATGATCGGTTACATCGGTACATGACCTCTCAAAATCCTAAATTGCCCGTTGATAACTTTAATAATAATAACTTTAAATTGCCGACTCATTCACTCATTTCTTTATCTTATATATATTTTATTTAATCCCATTTGCATTTACCCATGGTACTATATTATGCCATGATAACCTTATATACAGCATTTACAAAAGGGTCGGGAGCCTAGATGACCTTAATCGGTCCTGCACACTGACCCGCACAAAACAATAATCAATCGCTGTTTATTACTGATGAAATATTTTCTTCATTATATTATTATCTATTATTGTTTATATTAGTGTTGATTTTGTTTTTGTGGCAATAAATCTCACTCTCTCTCTCTCTTCATATGATTAAGCCGTCTTGTCGGCTTTCTTCTCCCCCTGGAAAATTATGTAAATCCTAATACCTCATTTGAAGATTTTCCTGAATTCTCTTCCTATGTACAATGGCGGAGATCAAAATAGATCATTTTTATTTTTTTGTTTTTCTCTTTTCAGTGAAAGGCAGCGTTGCGCCTTCGAAGACGTTATTAGCATGGAGTACATGGTCTACTTCAATTTCTTCGGATGTATCTTGCTACCTCTACTAATCATGGGTGCTATTTATACTTATATATTCCGGGTATGTGAAATTTATCACATATGTTAGATGCGTGTTCGTATGTGTATGTGTGATTTAATGTGCGCCAGTTCTGAGTAAGTGAAATTTATACTTACATATTCCAGGTAGGTGAAATTATCACTTAAGTCAGCTGCGTGTTCGTTTGTGTATATGTGATTTAATGCGTGTATGTGTGATTCAATGTGCACCAATTCCGAGTGAGTAAAATTTATCCCATGTGTAAGATGTGTGTTTTTGTGTGTATGTGTGATTCAATGTGCGCCAGTTCCGAGTAAGTGAAATTCATCATATTTGTGTGATGTGTTTTTCGTGTGTTAGTTTAAACTTTAGCGCTTCAATGGTCGACATTCGTGCTGATTTTTTTCAGATCAAAAATCTTTATTTGGCGCATTTTTGGATTTTTTTGTGTGTTTTTGTTCGAGCTCTATGTTGTTTATCTCGTTTGTTTCTCCGTGTGCGTGTGTCTCAGTGTCCAATGTCTGTCTTCATACTTATATTTACCGGGAGACAACTTTTGTCCATCAGATTTGTAGCATATGTTCATCCCCGTAAGTGTGTGAAATGTATACATATATTTTCTGGGTTACGAATTACCTTGGAGACAATTACTTCAAACCATATAGATTTGGCCCTTTCCAAAAATACCATTCCTTCTTGATATCAATAGTTGCTTATATAGACCCATTTTCGGAGAAAATATGCGAAAACGCCGTAAAAATATCTATATTATTTCTTTTCCCAGTCTGCAAAGAATCAACTCAGGAAAATATATTTTGACGTCAAATCATACAAGAAAAAAGTGAGAGACTCTCGTGCGCCTGGAGTGGCGGATAACACAAGAAGTACAACTTCTAGCATGAACTTTGACATTATAAATGGTTCCCATAGCAACAACAAGAAAAAGAAGAAATCAATTTTCAGATTCTCTCGAACGCAACCTGGTGGTGATAAAATCGGGAAGTTTTCTTCGGAAATAACGTCCGAAACTTTTGTCGACGAATCCTCGTTCATTGAACCAGAAACTTTTGGCGCAAAATACTCAGATTTGGCGGGAAATCGCGATTCAAAGTTACACCAGCTTGAAAAAATATCAGAAAAGGCGGTAAACTGTGACCTATCAACACATTTTACGCCCCATCCCAAAGAAATATCAACCTCAAATCCCGCAATCCACGCCGAAGAAACAGAAATAGCGGGAAAGTGCAATTTGAACTCAAAAAGCGCGGGAAACGACGAAAATCTACCTCAGTCAAACCACGACAAAAATGGAATCGCTAAAGTGATTTCATCGGATATTGAATATGGCGCAGAAAGACGAAAAAAATTGGCCGAAATGCGAAAACGTTTACATGAACGAAGTGTTTCATGTGAAGGGGAAAACGGGAACCTTGACTATTACACGTCTCAGGTATGTTATCGTCGTTGCTTAACAGTAATAACGCCCTTCCAGTAGGTAATATGTGACTTCCAGGAATAGTGGAAAATCGATGTCAAACTACCTGTAGATAATACCTGGAGATAGAAAAGGTCGCCAGAAGACTATTACTTTCATTTTTTCTCAAATTTCGAAGTCGTCCGCTACGGGTCCTAATATTACACCCAAAATTTTGCTGTTTTTATCTACCTTATTCTACCGGTGCCGTAATTCACAAAAATACCAATTTATATGGCATTTAACGCAATTTTTTCAACTTCTAATTGGAATTTTTTGACATTGCGTAGTCATTTGGCTTTATGTCGGTATATTTGAGTATTGCTTTTTTGTTTTTCCTTAAGGATGAAATTTCTCATGAAAGGCGCAACCACAGACTTCGATGTAAAGCCCACTCGTTTTCAGCATCAACGAATACAAAACATTTATGCAACCAATCAAAAGCATCCTACAACCTTAAAGCCACGCCTCTTCAAAAACTAGCCAATGGGGAGCTACCATCTTCACTAAACTCCTCTCGTTCGACAATATACACTTCAGAACATGGCGTGTGGACAACGTCAGAATCTGGCAACGCTCACAGAAGAATGAAACGTAAACGACAACTACTGAAGAAAGAATTCAAAGCCGCAAGAAGTCTGGCAACAGTGGTTGGGTTATTCGCCATATGCTGGCTTCCCTTACACATCTTAAACTCTATAACTCTATTTTGCCCAGGCTGTTTTCAGCCTAACTGGCTAAAAGACCTTGCCATATTATTATCCCACGCTAACTCGCTAGTAAATCCGTTGCTTTACGCTTACAAGCTGCGTGATTTCAGAAACGCATTCCGTAGGATTCTATCTCCAGTTTTCACTTCGAAATTTTCTTCTGAGCGAGCTATCCCGACCACGACGGTACAAACTCCAGGCGGTCTTTGCAAAATGTGCTGCATCATTGCATCTAATAGTGACGTCATAGACGATTTTCCGTCAGACGATAGAACATTGACTTTCGATTCGCCTTGGAAGAGCGGGAATTCACACAAAGTTCACGTTGTGCGTCTAAAGACCTCGGATAATCGAAACACTAATAATAACAATAGTAACGATAAATCAACGGGGAATTCACCTAAAAATTCCCCTGTGTTTTCATTTTTTCGTAAAAGTACCAAGCGCGGCTTTTGTAAAAACGAAACCACCCGGAATAGCACTGATGTAACGTTACTGCCTCCGGAATCGTTTGAAGATTCCCAATCTTCAAGCCGATCACAAAATGACAGTTTATGTGACTCAATATCATCGTCTAGCGATCACATTTTTATTAAAAACATGTCGCTTGATGATGATATTGAAACTTGTTTACTCAATTCTCCAGAGACCACCGTTTGACGACGTATTGCTCTATTATTATATTTGCTTCGCACTTTTAGGGTAAAATGTCTTTGGCAAGTTTTCAGTCTCACTGGGTTTTGACATTTCAGTTGGTGCAATGACCTTGATCGGGGATGAGTCTCTATTTCTTCTAAGAAACATTGCTCTAAGAAAATTCGAAAAAAAAATATTTGACTGTATCCTTGTACCCAAAATCCAGACCGTTCCTGATGTTTTGTCGTGTTGAACGTGGGCCGGGTTTTCAAGTTTTTGCTAGTATGAAGGTGGGAACCGCGGCCATATTATGAAATTTACCGAATTAGGAGTTAGAATTTGAACTTCTCAGATTCGAGAGTTTTGTGGAATCGGTGACGATACAAATATCTCAAAGCAAATTATTCTTCTATTCTTTTTATTCTTCTAATTGCAATGTCTTGTCCTACCTCGAATATAAAAACCTTAAAAAATTTGTGGCCATCTTTTTCGGGAGAGTTGGAATAGAACAGGGGTGACCAACCTATTTGCTGTCGCGGGCCATTTTATCAGCTGATTGAGTGGGCCGCAAAACGTTGTAGTCATACTACCGTATGATAGATGTTGATGTTCATCAATAAATCGAACAACTGCAACCATACAGCTGATGTATTTTAAATATATATTGCAGTGTTAAATAATGAAAAAAACATTCAATGGATATTTTGCTTTACCAACCGCTTTATATTAGGACGACCTGGCGGTTTAAAAACCATTTGCATACTAAGATTTTCGTCTGTCAGTCTCGACCTATATCGATCAAGTTCGGTTTTGGGTGCTCACGTGGCCGCGAGCTCCGCTCGGCTCGGATGTTCGGGATCAGAATTTCGTACACGAATTTTTTGGTAGACATCACTGTACAATCAAATTTTATTGTACTGAATAAACTAGGAATCTCTCTGACGTTGATATCTTGAAAATAATCTTGGTTGGTAGCATTGTGATATAGCGGAGTTAGCGTTGCAAGAACAGATCAAATTTGTATAACTAATTTGTTACAACGCTAAAATATGGATAGAAACTAAATATAATCGGGCAGTTTGAAACACTTTTCATGGTCTTGGGTTGCTGTGATATTTCAAAGTAAAGTTCTCAATTTGTCGACGCAACCGCAGGTTACATTAAACACACAATTAAATGAATAAAGCAAGAAATAGACTCGTATGGGTCGTCAATGGAATACTTATGGTCGTGGATTGCTGTGATATTTCAAAGTAAAGTTCTCAATTTGTCGAAGCAACCACAGGTTACATTAAACACACAATTAAATTAATAAAGCAAGAAATAGATCCGCAACTGCAAAATCATTACTCGACAACATAAGATAAAAGTAAAAAACATTATCCGTGGAACAGCTCAATTGCGGCGACAGTCGCATTGAAAATTCCTAACCCGAACTCTAACTGGATAATTAAAAATTTTTACAACGTAGCGCGGGTGTTTTTCTCAAAACTCACATTTTTGCATTAGTGGTGGAGTCTTTCTACAAAAAATCCAGGAATATTTGCTCGGAATTGTCCGATTCGTGCGGGATATAATACTTGCGGATAAATAGTATTTTGAGATGGGTCGGTGAGAGTGATGGAATTCAGAAATTTCAAGAAAAGGTTCTTTTTTATATCGAACTTGCTAACAGCGTATTTACTCATTTCAGTAAACCGAACCGATAGCATTTACATATTTATGAAACAAAAACCGATAAGACGACTTAATCTTCTGCAATCGCCTCTCGTCCGGTTACCAATCCATGTCGGGTGTTGGATAAGTTAGCGAATTATTCGTTTCGGATGATCATTATAAAGAAGTATAATTTGACGATATTCTTACTTGACTTACACGCGAGGATCGTTGAGTGAAATTATTTTTATCGGGATCACGTAGTTCTGTAAAAAATTCAAACACAAATTCTTTTTCTATTTTAAATCCTAATTTTCGGGTTTTATCTGGGGTACCCAAGCGCTGCACAATCCGTTCCGCATAGGGAGTTGCGATAGTACGGGGAGGGAAGTATTGGTGGGTCGTAGCCTACCTAAAAAAGATCCTGGCTGATTAGAAAGGTCTAATCCAGGGGTGCACAACTCAAATGAGGATGCGTGCCAAATTTTTCAAAATAATCTTGTCGCGTGCTACGCACAACTGTGGTACTGTAAATTAACTCCCGCAAAACAAACAAATTTCAATAATAATACATAATAACGGATATCTTCTTTATTGAAACAATTTAATGTCATGAAAAACTGCTGAATTTGATAAAAAAAAACGTGATATTTTAATTTTTTTTACAAAACCGTTCGCGTGCCACGTTTGAGCGTATGGCGTGCCAAATTTGACACGCGTGCCCGTGTTGTGCACCCCTGATCTACTCACATATGGCCAGCCACAGCCGAAAACTGGATATTTTTTCAGACGTATGGACTGAGTGGTGGAGAAAGACGTAACTGATCAGCGATCCGACAATCCTCTCGCACATGATTATTCGCTTGCGCAGGGTAATCAAAGACGTGGCGAGCGTATTCGGAAAATTAGCACGATGTGCCACACCGCCCATGTCAGCTACGGGATAGTTGAACAAGTTGTGTGCATATTTAAGTCTCATTTTTTGCCCATGGTGACGCCTTCAGCACTTGTTCCATTGAATATTGATTTATTACTCAAATAACGCCAAAACACAAAAATTCAAAAACTGAAACAAGTGTCGAGAAACAAGGTAGCAAAAATTCACTAATGGACTCGCACAGGAAAAAAAGTCCCAGGTCAGACTCTAGGATGCAAAGAAAATTCAATTCAGACCCCATTTTCAAACTTTAAAAAATCCAATTTAGCGCATGCAAGCCTTTATAAATACACTGTTAATAATGCATAGAAAACTTAACTTTAATTTTCTTCTCATATACTCATCATAGAGCGTTCATTTTTCCATGAAACATAGTATGGATAACTAGTAAAATATAGGTATTGTTTGCATTTTTCAACAACCCACAGAATGACAAGAAGATTCACCCAAGAAATGAGGTGAAAAACTGCTATTTGGCAAGAAGCATATAAAACAGTGAGGCATTCAACACTTTACAACGTAGAATCACGCAATTCTACAAAAATTCATGAAAACTGGATCTGTAATTTATGCACAAAGATCGGGAAGACCAAGGAGCGGACGCTCTGAGGTAGCTGAATTAGTTTTAAATTCTCTGTTGAAGAGGCACTAAGTTTGCCTTACTAATTTACATGCTTCTTGCATATAAGCAACTTTGCTCTTCATTTTTTGAGTTAATCTCCTTGTCATTCTGTGGGTTGTTGAAAAAAAGTAATTAATACCTAAATTTTACTAGTTATCCATACTATGTTTCATGGAAAAATAAACGCTCTATGATGAGTATATGAAAAGCAAATCAAAATTAAAAGTGTATACTTACTCTTGAGAGAGACACCCTGTATTTGACTACAGAAACCTAAATTTATCCGAAATTCTTAGCAAACTCAATGCTTGAAAATCTTGTGTTCGACTATCATCATCGGAAGTTTGTAATCACGGATCTGACAAATATTGGCTTTTCAACCTTAAAGTTTGAACAGTCAATTATTATTTTGATTGCTCAACATTGCCCGCCCAATTTATTACACCCAGAGTAGGACAATAGTCAAAGGGGTTGCATTCAAAAGGATAGGATTTACATATTTATCCCGGGGGAGAGGAAAGCCGATAAGACGGCTTATCCATATGGCGAACCACGGCCTCTCGTCCGGTTACCATTCCAAGTCGGGTATGGGATTAGTTTTATTGACTGTATTGTTTGTTTTCGGAAGCATGGACTTGGTGGTGGAGGAAGCCGTAACCGACCAGCGGCTACGTGAACCACCCAACGACGGCGAGGAGTCCAGCAATCCTCTCGCACATAACCATCCCTGCATGGGATTTGAACCTGCGAACCCATGCAGAGTAATTAGAGGTGCGGTGGCGAGCGTATTCCTAACGCTTAGCCCGTTGAGCCACACCGCCGCGCCAAAACTCGTAATCTGCGATGGTAACATAGCTATGTCCCACTCCATGTTAAGTCTGGTCGCTTCGTATTTGATGCTTGGTTCCGTGGGTTAGTTTCTTCATACACTAGAGGTGCAGGTGAGCAGTTCATGATGAGAGAAGTTGAGAACGCACTGAAATTCTTCATCTTCAATATTGCAACCTGCAAAATAATATATAATCAGAAGAAAATTTTAGGACAAAAAAATATCAGAAAGTCTATTGTGCCAAGTACCTCTCTCTTCCATGCCTTCAGTGTTGGCCAAAAACCAAATCAAATATAAAAGGAAATTGAAAAAATACAAAAATAATATTTTAAGTCATGTTAACAAAACAAAACATGTAGAAGTCTATATGTTTTGAAACTTTTGGTGTTATTGAGCCTGTGAAGAGGTTATTTATGAAGCCCCACAATAAATTTATAAAAATAAAAACGAAACAAAAAGCACATTGTTTCTTACAGATAAATGTTCCAGAGTAAATTAAAATTATTTGCTGAGATTCAGTATTGTTTTAGTAAACGAATAGCTCGTAAATCCTTTGGTTTCTCTCATTCGCCACCAATAAACAATTAGGTTCGTACATCCCTGACTATGGCGATTTAGGCCCTAAAAAATGATGCACTAAGTATTACAAACAAATCAATTACCAAGTCTTTTAAGTTTCAAAAAACGATATTGTTCAAAACAACTACTTTTTTAAAAGTAACTGTTCTAAATTCAAGGATATGCAGAATCGAACATGAGTAATTCAATCAGTTATGAACATCCTTGACTATTGTTAAAATTTTTGTTGGTACTCTCATAGTATGTGTCCCAGGTTCGGGTTAGGCCGATTTTCCTTATTGTAGTTCTATTACGAGTTCGGCGACTGTCTGTATTAGCCAAGTGAATATCCCCCTGCCCACAGGTATCAGACCCTTCACACAACTTGATGTAAAGTAGGCGAATCAAATTAGTTTAGTTATCTCCATATTGGTACACACATTTCTGGAGCGCCGTTTTGTCCTTTTTAAATTTTTATCCATATAAATATGCTGTTTGCAAAATGCTATAATAATGAAATTAGATTACTATGATAAAGAAGAACAAGAAATGGCAACCGCGTTGTAGTGTTTCTTAATTGATTAATTAGTTATTGATCTGACTTATATTAAAAGCAAATCATTATTTGTCAGCAAATTAATAAACTTTCCTCATTAACAGAGACTTCTCAAACGGTTGATGATAATATGAAAAATCCATCCTTATTCGGGCCAGCTATCAAAACTTGACTTTTCAAAATAAGAATATCTAAGTAAAAAAATATGAAATTTTGAACTTATTCTAATATCAGGCATATTATCGCTCATTTTCGGCCGACGAATATTCTTCCGATTCTAATTTTGGCCCTAGGCCAATCAACCTTT